CACTGAGGATGTTACCAAGCACGGTAATGAAACGTCTGCGGAACAACAAACCAGCTCGGTGAGCCAACCAACCTCAATCCCCAGAATGTTTATAATGGGGGATTCAGTGATGGTAGCACCATTCAATATCAAAGGCAGGTGGTTAGATTGTCTCTTATTGCTGATGGTCATTACCTGGCATTTATGTGGCATGAATGTTACGATTTGAGTTATTATTGTCACATGTACAAAGATACAGTGAAATGTGTTGTATTGCTTGTTATACAGGCAAATCAGACCTTACATAATTACATCAGGGAAACAGCACAGAATGCAGAATATAATGTTACAGCTACAGAGAAGATGCAGAGAAAGATCACAGCTAATGTATGAGAGGTCCATTCATAAGTCTGATAACATCAGGCAAGAAGCTGTTCTTGAGTCTGTTGGTATGTGTTTTCAAACTTGTGTATCTCCTTCACAATGGAAAAGAATATAACTGGGGGGTGATTGATTATGTTGGCTGTTTTACCATGGCATGATGAATGTAGACGGAGTCAATGGAAGGAAGGCTGGTTTTCCTGACGGACTGGGCTGCGTTTCACAACTCTCTATAATTTCTTGCAGTCTTAGGCAGAGCAGTTGCCATACCAAGCTCTGATGCATCTGGTTGGGATGCAATCTACGGTACATCTATAAAAATCGGTAAGAGTCATTGTGGCAATGCCGAACTTCCTTAGCCTTCTGAGGCAGTAGAGGTGTTGGTCTGCTTGTTTGGCTAGCATCAACGTGGATGGATGAGGATAGATCATTGGTGATATTTACTCTTAGAACTTGACGTTCTCGACCACCTCCACATCAACGCCATTGATACAGACAGGGGCCTGTCCTCCACTCCGCTTCCTGAAGTCGAAGACCAGATCTTTCATTTTGTTGTTATTGAGGGAGAGATTGTTGTCTTCACACCATGCCACTAAACTGCCTATTTCCTTCCTGTACTCTGTCTCATTGTTGTTTGAGTTCCAACCCACTATAGAGGATTATTGTGGAGGGGTTGTCACCTATCCTCACTGATTGCAGTCTGCTGGTCAGGAAGTCGAGGATTCAGCTACAGAAGGAAGAGCAGAGTCCTAGATCTTGGAGCTTGGAGATGATTTTTGTTGGAATTATGGTGTTGAAGGCAGAGCTAAAGTCAATTAATAGGAGACTGATGTAGGTGTCCTTGTTATCTAAATGCTCCAGGGCTGAATGTAGGGCCAGGGAGATGGTGTCTGCCATGGGCCTTTTGTGAGAGTCAGCAAATTGTAGTGAGCCAAGGCAATCTGGGAGGCTGAAGTTGATGTGAGCCATTACTAACCTCTCGAAGCACTTCATGACGATGGATGTCAGAATCAGTGAAGCACTCATTAAGGCACGCTACCTGATTCTTCTTTGGCACCAGGATGATGGTCATCTTCCTGAAGAAGGTGGGAACTCACATCATAGTAAGGAGAGGTTAAGATGTCTACAAATACTCCCACCAGCTGGTCTGTGCAGGATCTGAGTTCACGATCAGGGACCCCTTATGCACCAGTCATTTTCTGAGGGGTTTACTCTCAAGGACACTGATCTGACACCTGCAGTGGTGACTGTGGGTACAGGTGCTCCCGAGACCGTCGGGGCAGATGACATCATTTCACTGACCTGCTGTTTAAAATGAGCTCATTGGGGAGGAATGTATTGTTTTCAGCAATCGTACTCAACTTTGCTTTGTAGCCCCTTAAATCATGTAAGTCTTGCCACATTCAACATGTGTTTCTGTGGTTAATCTGGGACTCTGGTTTAGTCTGGGTGTTGTCTCTTGGTATCCTTGATGGCATTTTGAAGATCTTATCTAGATCTTGTCAGACCACACCTGAATATTGTTCAGATCTTGTTTCATTTGAACACGGACTGCTTAGAAGTCAGGAGTTGTGAACGGTGCTGAACATTGTGCAATCATTGGCGAACATTCCCACTTCTAACCTTATGATGGAGGGAAGGTCATTGATGAAGTGGTCGAAGATGGTTTGATTTTTATTGCAAACGAGTGGCAATTGTTTATTGCACCAACGTAAGTAGGACTATTCATGATACTGATCAAGGGTGGCACAATGGTTAGGACTGCTGCTTCCCAGTACCAGGGACCTCTCAGTGTGGAGTCTGCACATTCTCCCTGTGTCTGCGTGGGTTTCCTCCGGGTGGTCCGGTTTCCTCCCACAGTCCAAACATGTGCAGGTTAGATAAATTGGCCTTGCTAAATTGTCCATAGTGTCCAGGGATGTTGAAGGCCAGATGGATTAGTCATGGAAAATGCGGGTTTTCAGGGATAGGGTAGGGGGATGGGTTTGGGTGGGATGCTCTTGAGAGGGTCTGTGCTGACTCGATAGGCCAAATGGCCTCTTTCTGTACTTTATGGATTCTATAAAAATCACTAGCTGAAATTTTATTTTATTTTATTTATTATTGTTACTACATGTATCTAGCGATGGACCAAAATCTGTTGGTGCATTGGAATGAATGGAGAGTGCAATACCGCACAGCAGCGGTCCTCCGATCTAGGGGGCACCTGGTGGTGCCAAGAGCTTCTTTCCGGCTTCAAAACCCGTTACTCAATGCGCCTGCGCATCAATGTCTATCAATTTAATAACTCCGATTTGTTAAATTATTTTATGTGAAAACCAAGCATATTATCGTCAGTATTTGTTTGGTAGGCGTTGTTTTTTATTCCAATAAATAATTGTAAAGGTCGCCTGGTTGGGGGCGGGGCTTCAATGCAGGCTATTCCTAATGCGCCTGCGCAATGTTGTCTAAACTTTTTTAATAGCCCTAATTTACCAAGATTTCACTTCACATAAGACAAAATCACAATTTCGTTTCGAACGGTTATTTTCATTTAATTGTACCTGTAGCTTTCCGGAAAGCCACGTGGCGGTAACTATGGTAACGGCGGCCATGTTAGGTTTTCCTCGGCGGGCGGTTGACGGTTGGGATTCGAATTCGAATTTTTTTTAAGCGGACAGCCGGAGCCGAAATGACGGACCGTTACAATATCCACAGCCAATTGGAACATCTCCAGTCCAAGTACATCGGCACCGGGCACGCCGACACCACCAAGTGGGAGTGGCTCGTCAACCAGCACCGCGACTCGTACGCCTCGTACATGGGCCACTTCGACCTCCTCAACTACTTCGCCGTGGCCGAGAACGAGACCAAGGCCCGAGTCCGCTTCAACCTCATGGAGAAGATGCTGCAGCCGTGTGGGCCCCCGCCCGACAAGCCCGAGGAGGCCTGAGAGGGCCTCGGGGGGGAGGGGGGAGATTCTCCTTGGGAGGTGAGGGAGGTGGCGGCAAAGGGTGAGGATTAAATATGGAGATGTAAGATGTGGGGGATATAGGTGTGGGTAGGTGAAGGGGATTTGGGGGGGTATACGTGTGGGTAGGTGAAGGGGATTTGGGGGGGTATATGTGTGGGTAGGT